GGAGGGAAGCGGAAAGGAGAAACAAGGTAAAAGTGGCATCATTCCTCAAAGAAAAGACGGGTTATGTTGTCAGTCCTGATGCAATGTTCGACGTACAGGTCATTCCCTTTGACGAGCTCTATAGTTCTAATGCTTCCCAGAATCAAAGCAAAAGGCAGGCTTTGGAGTATATAACAACATTAAGCATAATGACACATAATTGCAAGTAAAATATGCCTGAATTAAGCACATGCATATTTCATGTGGATGACTTGATGCCTCAATGCTTATTCTATGAAACTATTTTTTCATCTTCTAAAGCTGAAAAAGACGCCAAACTTGTTGATTATAGGTGAAGCGCATCCATGAATACAAGAGGCAGTTACTGAATATCATGGGGATTGTTTATCGCTATAAGAAAATGAAAGAAATGAGTCCTGAGGAAAAACAAGAAAAGTTTGTTCCCCGAGTGTGTATATTTGGAGGAAAGGCCTTTGCCACATACGTCCAAGCCAAGAGGATTGTCAAATTTATCATAGACGTGGGAGCAACAGTAAATCATGATCCAGACATAGGCGATCTTTTGAAGGTATCTTTTCTATTTGGTGGCTTATAATATGCAGAGTATCAACAGTGTACTTTAATATATATACATACATAGAATTATGATTTTTCTGTGTTTTTCGGGTTCTTTGCCATTTAAAAGTGTCTTTCATTACAGGTAGTATTTGTCCCTGATTACAATATGTCAGTGTTGCAGAAGTGCTTATTCCTGGCAGTGAGCTGTCCCAGCATGTAAGGTATTATTTTTTTTTCTCTGTTCGGACACATTATCAAGCTGCTTTGATCCTTTTATTATTATCTAATTGTCTCATAGAACACATGTAATAAAAAAAAATTAAAAAAAAGACAGCAAAATGAAAATTGTGTTGAACCAAATTTGTTATCATGGTATTTGATTGGTTTTGTTTCTTTCCATTTCTATGTAGCACTGCTGGAATGGAGGCAAGTGGAACCAGCAATATGAAATTTGCAATCAATGGTTGCATACTAATTGGAACCTTAGATGGGGCTAATGTTGAAATAAGAGAAGAGGTTGGAGAAGATAACTTTTTCCACTTTGGTGCAAGAGCTCATGAAATTGCTGGACTAAGGAAAGAAAGAGCCGAGGGAAAGGTAAGATAACCTTTTCTTCTCAAACACTATTATGCTTCCTTTTTAAAGGGATTCTACTAACATATCTTGAACTATTTATTTTTCACTTTGTAACTTGAGGAAATTATGAAAAAGAAAAACCAACAGTAGCTTGAAAATTTGACAGTTTGTACCCAACCCGCGGTTTGAAGAAGTGAAGGCGTTTGTTAGAAGTGGTGTTTTTGGTTCTTATAACTATGAAGAACTTATGGGATCTCTGGAAGGAAATGAAGGTTATGGTCGTGCCGATTATTTTCTTGTTGGAAAGGACTTCCCTAGCTACATTGAGTGCCAAGACAAGGTTGATGAGGCATATCGAGACCAGAAAGTAATATTCCATATCTCCATTTACGTACTATGCTTTTCTCTACTCATATTTATAGTGGAAGAAGCGAATGGAGTTAGAATTTTATGTTTGCGTTTCAATTATCAAATTAATGGGAGAGTAGGCGAAAATTCCGAACTAGAACATTTTCACACGCACGCACAAGACCCGCCTTGAAATTTTTTTTTTCTAATAGATAAAAAGAGGATCAGTAGTGTCTTCACGTCTCCCGACACAACACCTATTAGAAGAGTCTATTAGGATCACAGGTGCGATGGTAAGGGTTCTATCATTGAGTCTTCAACAGCTATCAACTCAAAGTTCATAGAGTCCACTGGCACATAATTTATGTCAAGGACAGACTTTTGTATGTAGTATGAGAATGACTCGGACCTTATATAGATGGAAGCGAAAGCTCCAAATAGGATATCTTTACCACCATGCCGCCACCACCCACGGTAAAAGACCTGCCTTGAATTGCCCGGATTAAACTATACTTAGTATAAACACAATATGTACATGGGAAATTACACAAGTCCTATAAATAGTTGGAGTTATATATGGGCTGAAAATCATGCATTAAATAACTTAAAATTAAGCTTTGCCATAGAGTTCTTTTGCATTCAGGAACGTGTACATAGATCTAATATTAAAATTTGTCGTCACATATAACTAATTCTCTTCTTCGTGTTGTTCTTTTCTCCTTAATCAATCATGGGACAGAGATGGACCAAGATGTCGATCTTGAACAAGGCTGGTTCGTACAAGTTCAGCAGTGAGAGAACAATCCACGAATATGCAAAAGATATATGGAGGATTGACCCCGTTGAATTACCATGAACTATATATACTAAACTTATCAATCATATATACCTGGAGTTGGGGAAAAATCCAAAATATTCCCCACCCTTTTCTTTTACTCCTCATTGGTTATTATAGCCCCAAGTGCTCCACATTCTGTAGCCAAATAAGACAATTTGCTAGAAATGGGTTCACGAGTCACACCTCTAAAATTCCCAATCTATATATTACTGAACACATTTTTACGATGGAAAAAAAACTGAAGACTCGTTTAGTTTGTTAATTTGAGTTTTTAATTCGAGTTGAGATGTGACTTTATGTGAGAACTTTTTACTATAGTAAAAATGTTAGATGTGACTGTTTCTGAGAACCTTTTATTATAGCAAAATTCGAATTCTAAACTCGAATCGGTGAAATGAACGAGACCTAAATCAATCATTTTATTGTTATGACCTTTGAAACAACGGTATAGGAAATGTTAATAATACTATCATAATAATTATTTAATACCAGTGATGAATAAATATCATAATTGTAGGAATAATTTAACAATAATTTTACACCTGACTTCATTTTAAAGGTAGAGTTTTAACCCACCCACCTTTCCGAACTTGAAAAAAAAAAATGTTGAACTACGCATTCAAAATGAAAAGCTTCTTTTCTTTTTTTGTTAAATCAAAGATGTGAAAAATGAATATTACTATGGAATCAAGATGATAAGGATGAAATAAACTATTGCTTTACCCTTGGACATTAAGGTTGGGCCTCAGCCATTAATGAAAAATTGGGGACCAGGCCTGGGGAATGGTTGGGTTTTGTAATGAGGGTAGTACAATCTTGTTTAACGTCCCATCAAGATGAGGGACCTGGTTTTCAGCCATATCAACTATGGGCTTAAGGTGCTGTCAAGCATTCATGGAACTGGTGCATCACTCGGAATGAAACTCATCCCACATGTTTAATGCTTTTTGGAGGGAAATTTGTTGTCGGTGATTTAGAGAAGAGAGAGAGAGAGAGAGAGAGAGAGAACACCAATCATGGGGCAGGCCTACATGTAATATGAGGATTAAGCTTATTTTAAAATTAAGCAGATCTCCATTTTTTTTAAAAAAAAAAAGCAGATCTTGATTATTATGTTATACAATATACGCACCAAAATCTCCCTCTTTGAATTTTTATTTTTGGCTAATTCTTGTAGAGATGAAATATGCTGAATATTGTATACAAATTAATTTATAATGTAAATTTGTGGTAGAGTAGAAGTAGGACATATCCTATCTGTACGCCATTGGAGCATTGTTTTTTTCTTCTTTTTTGAAAAGGACGTCGAGACATTGTTGAGTAACATGTACTCATAATTTCTCTTATTTATACATGGAGGATCAGAATTTAATCAATTAGGAAGGTAGAAGAAGTGCACTAAGATTTGCATGAATTTGATCATCTAAAAATACAACACACACACACACACACACATATATATATATATATTAATTTCATGCTTTTGATCAGGAAATGGGCGCATGTAAGGCTGA